GGACCTGAACCTATTCAGCCTCCATAAGAGAAGGCTGAGGGGGGACCTGGTGACAGTCTATAGACTCACTAGGGGGGACCAGAAGGGTTTGGGGGAGACGCTGTTTCCCCTAGCGCCCGCTGGCATAACAAGAAGCAATGGGCACAAGTTGATGGAGAGGAGGTATAGATTGGACATCCGCAAGAACTGCTTCACAGTTAGGGCGGCTAGGAGCTGGAACCAACTTCCAAGGGAAGTGGTGCTGGCCCCTACCCTGGGGGTCTTTGGGAAGAGGCTGGATGCCTACCTGGCTGGACTCATTTGAGTCCCGTTTCGCTTTTTGGGGTTTTTTTGTTGTTCTTCCGCCCTGGCGGGGGGTCGGGCTAGAAGATCTACTAGGTCCCTTCCGACCCTTAATCTATGAATCTATGAATCTATGAATCATCACTTAAAAAACAAACACTTTTGGTATTGTGGATTAGGGCAGCCTAATATGCATTTATTTAGTACCTCATATTGGAGATTGTGAGTGGAACCGCAGGTATGACCTGTGTCAGAACAAACAAGAGCTTAGGTCCCTGAAATGCTAACTCTTAGGGTTCGACAGCTTGACCCTCAGCATGTCCTGCTCATGGGAATGGACCCTCTTCTCTCCTGCCATGCCTTGTTTTTCTGTATTGTTGGGAGGGTTTCTGATCATTAATAGGAGTCTTGCTCTGGTTACATGCAAGGGCACTCCATGGGGCTTCACCTCCCCTCACACCCTGTCCACATGCCAACTGGATATAATGATGTGGGCCAACCCCCTCGCTGCAAAGAGATGTAACCATGGTGCTGGCTTGCTAAATGTTATTAGTAGGGTCTCAGAATGAATGTCATCAACTCAGATTGCCATTTGGCCTATTGATGTTTTCGCTTACTTAATCAGTCAATTACAAATAATAAGGATCAAAGAAATCAAAGTTGGACACAGTTCATTAGTAACTAAGGAACTCAATCCATCCAATTAATTCCAATAGGCAATCACATGACTATATTGAATGAAATCAGAAAACCATCTGCAATTCATCAGGCTGCAAGAAAATCAATACATCAGATTAATTCTATCAGATGATCAATTAATGATAATCCATTAAATAAAAGCTATTCATAATTCATTAATCATTAAGAAAATCAGTTCATCCAATTAATTCCATTGACTCATCAGATCATTCTAAGTTCATCACAGACTCAGTCCTTTCACCAAGTAAAGTTCTCATTTTTCCAGAGGTGCAGACCGCACCATGTAATTCAGTCTAAATGTTCACCAGCTGCTCCCCATTCACCAGTCACTCCCCACTACTCTGGCTGCAAGTCTGCCCTACCGTTTGTCTGCTTTTTCTATGGTGAACACCTGCTTACTTCTTTATGCCCCAGTTAGGAATGAGAGATCCTCCCTCTCTCAGTCCAGCTCTGCAGGGGCTTCACAGAGCCTTCTCTTCCTGCCCCTATTCCCAGGGCCTGGTTACCTATTGCCAGGCATTCCTCTGAACACCCACATCACAGAAACTCTCCCTTTGCCAATTCCAACAGCATCTGCCAGACTCTTGTGGCTGTGCAACTCCTCCTATCACCCTCTCTCCTCCTTCCGCCCAAGCTGGACATCTGGTTATAGAGCCAGCTCCTAGGTGTCCTCCAATACAGAGGGAGCAGGAACTTATGAATTGGGGCCCCAGCTTCCCCTGCTGATCAGCCACTGCTGCTGTCTCCACATACGCTGCTTTGCCCGGGTACCAACAGGGGAGTTTCTCAGGGTCCCTACTTTCAGGCTTCGCTTTGGGAGGTGCCTTCTGCTTCCACAGAGGCACCAAATTTAATGTGCATTAGGAAAAGTGCATTAATGAACATGTAGATGTGCCAAGAGTATCTGTATTTTAAGCCTTAAATCTTTTTATCTAAAAAGTACTTGCAGAAATATTCCACAGTACAGAACCTATGTTTTTGTGTCCAAATACTATAATTGCACATACATATCAGTTCGGTTATGGCACTTGTCTGTAAATATAGGTGTTTAATTGGACATATTTCCTCTTTTCCTATATGCAAATGGGTTTCTACTTCTAAAAGTGTGACCCCTGAATATAAATTTGTGGCTCTAATAAGTCTCTAGAAAAAGGAAAAAGGATGAAAGTGTTTGAAAACAGGGGGAGCGGCAGGGGGAGAAGAGGGAGAGGAGGGAATGGCGAGGGAAAGAGGGGAGCACTGGAAGGACAGGGGGTGAAAGGCGCAGTCCAGAGTGGCAGAGGAGGGAGAGTGGGGCAGAACCCAAAGCAGCAGGGGGTGGGGGGGAAGCGGAGCCAAACATGAAGCAGCGGGGGGGGAGTGGGCCTGGGCCTGGTGCAGTGGGGACAGTGGGTGCAGGCACGGTACAGTGGAGACAGTGGGCCTGGGCCCAGCGCAACAGGGGCAGCAGGCGCAGACCTGGTGCAGCGGAGGCAGTGGGTGCAGGCCCAGCATGCTGGGGGCAGCCGGCCCAGGCCCAGCATGGCGGTGGCAGCGGGCACAGGCACGGCATGGCAGGAGCAGCGGGCACGGGCCCAGGCCCGGTGCAGTAGCAGCAGAGGGCCTGGGCCTGGTGCAGCACAGTGGGGGCAGCAGGCCCAGCATGGTGGGGAAGTAGGCCCAGACCAGGAACAGCCAGGGGAGTGGGGTGCAAGGCCAGACATGGGGCAACACGCCCCTTCCCCTCTCCCCCCTCCATCATTCTTGACACGCAGTTTGCTAGTATGAAATAATATCTTTCAATGTGTGTGAAGCATTTTACCATATCTCAATTATTCCTTTGTTTTATATGTACTGAAGCTTGAAAAATCTAGCGGCTCTGCTTTATCTAAGGAGAGGCAACTGGTCTCTGCCATAACTGGTGAAGTGCTAGCTCCTCCTAGGTCATCTTTTTGCTCTTCTGAATGCACCCCCTTTCAGTTAGGCTTTGTGCCTTTACATTTCCTGGAGACTGAATTTGTTGAGTCCTCCACTCTTAGCCTCTTAGATAATGTTGGTGCTTGGTTATAGTAGCCAAGAGGCCTGATGCTGATTCTGCCTTTCGCAAGTCTGTGGGCACATCTACATGTGCAGTAGCATAGTTTATTGTACAGTAAATGCACTCATCTACACGTGTGCATACTTACTGTGCTGTAAAAACCTTTAATGACAAGTAAAATTGGTACCTGCAAATGCAGGTAGCAAATTTATGTGTGATTAGTTGCAGCTCAGTAACACATGTGTAGATATGACCCAGGAGCAAATTTGCTCCCACATCAGGCCTGCCCCTAGCGGACTGGCCTCAGACTTTGGGCTGCAAGCCTCACTTGCCCCAGGGCTGGGCTACCTCTATGGCAGCCTCTACCTCTGGGTTTTTAAAGCCTGTGGGCATTTTGAGCCCTGGGGCACACCAGGGACCCTGAGGCCAATCCCCTGTATACTAGCTAGGCAGGCCACAGCCCACCTGCCCCAGTCTTCCTGCATCCCAGCATTGCTGCCTGGTACCACAGTGCTGTGTGCCTGCCAGACCCAAACCATCCAGGCCTGCAGGTTTCCTATCCTAGCATTGTCTTTAACAGCCTTCAGATGTTTAGTAGAAGTGGTTTATCTTGACCTACTCTTCTTCCCATTTTGCTTGTTTTCCTTACCAGCATCTGTTTCCAATAAAACAAAACTAATATATTCACAAAATAATTGGGTCAATATGTAGTGTTAGCTAATTATCATAGAACAGCTTCATTTTATCACAGGCACTTCAGTGCTCTGACACAGAGGAGAGACACCCAAACTCTGGATGTACATGGCAACTTTCATTTCATTTTTGTTGTTCTATTATGAAAAATAAAGGCCATTCTGACTGAAAGTAGCCACTCTTTCTAGGACATAATAAAGAATCATCCAAATTGTTTATTAAAGAATAGTTAACTATATTTCACAGCTTTTCCATATTTAATAACATAATGGTAAAACTTACAAAAACAAATTGGAAAAGGTAATATTATAGTAATTCCTGATGTCCAGAAAGCCTCTCTCAGTGGGTCATTACACATTGCACTATGCTCATTGGAGCCTAATAGTCTCCTCCATGTAAGAACACAAAGACAGAACTGTATCTGAAAACTTCTGTAGTTCTGCTAATAAGAGACACCATTACATGCAATCTGGGACTGTCTGGGGCTGGTGACCTTGCGAAAAGGGAGAGAGTCATGGCCTCCAGCTCACCTGCTGAACAGTGATTTTTCAGGAAAAGACAATGGTAATCCATCATATTCACTGTCTTAATTAGGAATACTTAAGGCCTTGGTGTCTCTCAGCAATAGTAGCACAGTGGCAAATTGATGTGCTGTCCTAGCATTCAGTTCATGGACATATCATGTGGTCTTTCTAGAGACAGAATTAATGTCAAGTGTCTTGTTTTTAAGGTAAGGTTTTTACTTTGACATCGTGAAATGTATGGAGTTTGGTTTGGGGTTCTTTGGTTTTGGTTTTTTCTTTTATTTTTTTCAGAAGAGCAAATTTTGTTTTCTTATTGTATGTACAAGGTAAGCAGGAAAATACCCAAAATATAAGCTTCCAAAACAGATGAAATGGTCTTCAGAATTCTACAGACTTCCTAATACATATCTGTGATCTTCCGTTAATGTTTCAAGGAGTAGGTTGTGGTCAGGACCCTTTGATTTCCCTCCCCCAGAATATGGCAATCAGTGCAACTGATACCACACTTCATCCCATGATGAGAAATGTCACTACATAGCAATGTGCCGACTATTAAAGCACTATAAGACTGTACTGTTGCTAGACTGAAGGATTATGTCTTCCAATTTTCAGATTGGAAGAAAAAGTATTGACTGAA